TTGCGCACAAGTCATCAGGCTTTCGAAGCAAGTGCTGTTCCCCGCCGAGTCATCTGGCTGGCCCTCACTCGTTCATCTCCTTATTCATTCAGTCATCCAATAAATATTTCTGGAGCGGCGACTGCCTGTCAGTCATTGCGCTGAGGCTTGGTGGTGAGTGATGGGGGTGAACGAGGTCGCGGCTCCCAGTTCAGGCTGCCGGCCAATCACAGTATAAAGAGAGACACGGAGGTAGACAAGGGCCACTGGTGGGAAATGGTTTTTAAAAGACTCTGTCGGTATGGAATATGTATAGATTTTCCCATGGCATCATTTCCTAAACAATACCCAAAATGGCTATTCTCATAGCACTTATATCGTTTAGGAATTATATATAATGGAGAGACAATCCCAAGTTGAGGAGGAGGAGATGCGTAGATTCTAGGCCAAGACTATGCTGTTTTGTACAAAAGGCTTAGATACCTATGAACACAGTTGTGAGGAGGCCTGGCACCAATCTCCCCCAGACAAAAGAAAAATTCTACAGGCCCCAAGGGGACCAGAGGAGCGGCCCGTTTCTGTCCTTATGACGTCAGGTAAGGTTCCCTAGAGGAAGAAGTGGCTGAACCAAAGCATGAGGGACACATCCACAGAATGACTCAGAGACAGTCATAGCTACTGTCACCGTCATCAGCGTTGGCAAAATAACTTACATTTGTTTAGGCCTTGATAAATGCCAGGGACTAGATTGTGCACTTTGCACACCCTGTCTTCTGATGCCCAGGGCAACCATGTGGGACAGAGGCTATCCATTAGCCTGTTCAGAGATGAAGGAATGGAAGCTGAGTGTTTACAAGGCTTATCTAAAGCTGTGGGATGAGAAGGTGGTACAGATGTGTGTCCCTAGCTGCTCATCCATCTAACTATAGTCCAAGGCCATAGGGTATGACATTAGGGAGTACCCCCCTCCATAAAAAACAAAACTGTCCTGACACTGGATTCAGAAAGCCTGCAAGTCCCAGTTATAACTACAAAAGAAGACAGGGTGTGTGTGTGTTGGAGCAGGGGGTTAACACATTGGAAAGTTTTAGGCTTCTCATAGTATTTACCAGGGCACACCAACTACCCACACCTTCAGGGGCTTGGCCACCCTACCCCTGGAGAAGCATGACACTTCAGAGTGCAAGCCTGGAGTTCCAAAAGGCCAGAGCATAGAAGGACAAAGCCAAAGATGCTTCCTTTTTCCTGCCTGCTTCCCCAGCTCCAGAAGAATCGGCCCCAAGGGAAGCAGGGAGTGTGGATAGCCTTCACCAGGTGTCTCAGACGATGGATGTCCCACATCCGGCTGCTGTTCAGTCAAACTCCCCAGTGAACAAACCAGAACTATGGACCACATACAAGGATTTTCCTAGCGCCAGAAGACCTGTACTGTCCTTATCCACTGGGAGACTCTGGGTCCCATCCACAATGTGAGGGGCCACGTCCAGATGAACTTGTCTGTTTGTAAGGAGCCAGGAAGAAGCAGGGAGGGTGTGGGGGAGTATACAGGTGACAGGTGGTCTGATTGCCTATCTTCCTGGGAGCTCCTGCAAGGCTAAGTGGCAAAAGACAGGCATGCAGCTGGGCAAGCAGCCTGTTCAGTGGTGGTAAAGGCAGGAAAAAAGCCCGTCTCTCTCTTCCAGAGATCTGTGCAGGCAGAGGGAGCTAGGTTTCTGAAGGGGAGCAGGCCTGTTAATTTAATCAAGACTTAGACTAGCCCATTCAGGCCCCCGAGTGGAGGGGGGCACCATGTATTCCCTGCCCAGCACGAGGTGGAGGCTGGGATCATCAAAAGGGATGCAGGCTCAGTGAGCACAGACTTGGTTCCAGAATAAGGCAGCTGGGAGGATGCTGTTCCCCCAACATTGAATTCAGGGTCTTCCTCCAATTTGAAGGTGAAGCTGATTAGGCTTCGGAGAAACAAAAACAAATCTAGTTTATCATCACAATTCACAGAGTAGGTAATTCATTTAGAATACGATGTCCCAAGAGCAGGCATGGGCTTGAGAATCAGGAGCTCCCAGACACGATTACGATGAGTCAGAAAATGGATTCATTGGAGGTAGAAAGAGAAATGAAGTATTTAGCTCTGTTCCTAATATTTAAGGCTGCCAGGAGACTCTGCCCTTCCCAGATCACTCCAACTCCACGACAGTTCAGACAGGTCCAGGACTCAAAGACGTTGGTAAGGTAAAATGAAAGAAGGCTCTTTAAGAAGAAATAAGCACTTTAATTTTGAAGTGATTACATATTCCTTAGGAGGTTGAAAAATAGTAGAGAAAGAGCAATGGACCTCACACAAATCTCTCCAGTGGCAGACCATATTGATTAACACAGTACAACAACAAATCAGGAAATGGATGCTAGACAATGCACAGGCCTCTCATGTGTGTGTGTGTGTGTGTGTGTGTGTGTGTGTGTGTGTGTGTGTATGTGTGTGT